CAAACTTCTAATATCACATTTCAAAATTTTAACCTGAAACTTTACAAATCAAATGTTACACTTTAGACAAGCGTTTTTCATTGATCTCTTAATGTGACCTTGACATCTGACCTAGAGACCTGGTTCATACACGGGACACAGCTTCTCATAGTGGTGAACAATTGTATAAGGTTCATAGAATCCCTCTATATGTGTAGGAGATATGCTCTGGACAAAATCTCTATATTTTATCATCTTTAGTGACCTTGGATATCATCTTAAGTGGCCTTAACCTTGCATATATTAATCTAAATTACATGTTTCACACCAGTTGTCATGATAATGACCATTTGTGTTTCAATCCCTCAATAAATAATGACTAAATGCTCCCAATACACACTTTCATATTTTTATCTGAACTTTGACCCCTATGTGTGACCTTCGCTTTGGCTGCAGGGACCTAAATTTTGCACGCGACACTCGGCCTCACAATAGTGAACATTTGTGCATGTAGATGTTTTGATCCGGACAAACGGTTTTCAATGACCTCTAAGTGTGACCTTCACCGTTGACCTAGATGCCTGGTTTATGCACACGACACGGATTCTCATAATGGTAAACATTCCTGTAAAGTTTCATTGAAATTCCTTCATGGGTGTAGGAGTTATGCTCTGGACAAAAATTGGACGCAGTCCGCCCGCCTGCCAGGGAGGAAACTATAATACGACCCATTTTTTCAAACGGGCGTATAAAAATAGGAAATGAAGATATAATAATGGTTTTGGGGCAATGCAAGTTTTCTTATTGCTTTTTTTAACTAATTATGTATACTTTCTTTTAACCCCACAATGATTTTAAAGTTATTGTCCAGACAAACACATACCAGACGGGCAAAATCAATCCGCTTCAGTTAAATAATAACATTAAAGCCTCTTCTATTTATGCACATAGAAAATCAACAAAGTTAACATTACACTCGTTGTCAAGCCTTAATTATTTTTAAAATCAACAGATTACGCAAGATTGATTTTACAAAAAACTTGATTAATTTATTGATATGTAATTTGTAGAAGCGAATTTACCAGAGATGCTGTCTGTAAAATAATTATGTGACAATTGGCATTATTTATATTTATTTATATCTATTATGCTTTTCAATAAAACTGGTATGTTTACATGCAGATACTATAAACTATTATCAACAGCAGTTTTCGTTTATTTTTTATGCCAAAAATGTTGGTGTCACCGACTTTATTTTCGAGTTATCTAAACTTGAGTTTTAAAATTTTACTTATCCAAAGGTCAGATGATTAACCGTCAATGTTAACAATATCTATTTGTTTGCATTTTATATATGTGACCTAAATTTGAGTGTGGTTTCCCAATTTGAAGAAATAGTAATGAGAAATTTGTTTAATTTGTCTTACGGTTTTTGAAAACAATAAAATAAAACAGAAAAATGTCACCATAGCTATTCATTGCTATTCTTCGATTCTAGTAATAATTTGTCAGATGCCCCTTTTTTGGTGATACAAACCGACATAAATGATTAAAGGGATATTCAGGCTAAATAATGACAAAAATATTAAAATGATCTTATGTACTCAAATCACTCTAAATGGCATTTCTTAAAGTTTCTGTTTAAATTCTATATATTTTGGGTTTTAAGCGTAAATATACAGTATATGTTGAACAAAATTTAGACGCCAATAGAATCACCGAATAGTTTTAAAACAAGTCAGGTGACTTGAACAAACCCTTGAAGTGACAATAACAGATATTGTGGATATTGTATGATTGAAACAAGTCTAAGTCATTCATTTGACATGTTCTTTAACGTTTACAGAGTTCACTGTGACAACTATTGTGAAATCCTAGCGCTCTAACCTGACCCACGCGGGTCAAGTTAGGAAACCACTATTTTATTCTTTATATGGAGAAAAGTTTTGTTCCTTTGACCGTCTAATATATTCATTTTGAGGGCATTTACAGAATAATGAATGAAGAATTCAAACGTAAGAGATGAAAATTTTGCCTGTGTCACCGTTTAATAAATGATTTATAAATTGGTAGCACTTCTTTAGCACATATTAATATAAATGAAAGAGTGTTATGACACCATGTAATCAGGTCAAACTAAACAGAATACTTCATTTCAGGTCAATAAATATCTTCACTTAGTATTATGCTAAACATCGGTAATGCCGAACTGGATATTCCATTTAAGTATTTCTGCTATGTGTTTTATTCATGGTAAGTACAATAATTAGTCAATAATTCTCTTTATAAACAATTAGTATTCGACACAGACTTTTGTTTGCATCCATTGTCAGTAGAGCTGCATCTGATTGTCAATATACTGCCATTTGTCCGAAGATAATGTATAAATGAAAAAATGTAATATGAATGTTGCATAAATAATCAAGCCAAGGGTTAAATTATACCCGAAAAAAATGTCGAAGCCGTGGGCGAGACAAAACATGTCGATTTTATGCAGCTTATTGTGGGGTTGCATTAATTGAAAATGGACACACTACAAAAAACTATCGAAGATAAAACATTCTAGTGTTCCGTGGTATATATATTTTCCACACTATCTCCTTTCCTTTGATGAAACATTAGCTGGATTGTTATCCATCGTGTTTGCATTTAGCAGAGAATGGCCTGTGTAGTGCAAAGACAATTTTTAGTAGTATTCGGTTTTCCAAATGTATTAAATGAACATCTTTTTTATCATAAATGAGTTTTAGGTATTGCGCTTTCAAACTGTTCGTATAAATATGCGGTTGGCATGAAGATATTCTAACGATTAAAAAGAATAAAAAGAATAAAATATTATCCAGACATTACATTAACTGACATATTATCATTATTTTATAAAAGGTATATCATGTCAAAGCATAGTTCTAACTCCGACCAAAGCTTACGCCAATATAAACGAGGCCCTAACGTTAACCTGCACAGGTCTATACTGGTTACAACAATGTCGCAGGGACGAAGTGGAATGTAAATAACCAGTATACACCAACAACAATAAGACATCAAGATAATACTTGTAGTGGCAATGGAATTTTCGCTGATGACAACATTTACAGAGTTGGTTGTCCATCTGATACATCTTTCACCGTAACTATATTACGTGTACAGCAAGAATACCTGAATATTCCATGGGAATGTTTGGATCGTTACAGAGAAAGTAATACTGTTAAAATATTAGAAAAAGGTAAGTTAGTACTTTACCGTTTTCACCAAAATGAATATGATTAAACACCAACTATTATTATTGTATTAAATGTGACACTTGAAGAGTTAGTTGTGAAATTTCCATGTTTTAGTTATATCGTTTATTGTAACCATGACAACCGATAAAACTTATTTGATTTGGATTCATTTAATATCACTGTAAGGGCGAAATATAGCGGTGGTAATTGGAAATTGATCTCGGACTGTGAGTCTAAAGATTTTTTTCTCTTTAACTGCTGATTCAGAAATCACGTAGTATAAATAGTCGATTATTTTGCGAGAGAAATTGGAAATGAGTGATAAGTTTTTTAAGGATTTAACCAGTTGAATTTCGAGACGTGACCAAAATGTCTGAAATCAGCGTAAAGAAAAACAAAATTGTAATTTGTTGTCTACGGGAAGTACTACCTTTCCTTAGAAGTAATTCCTTTCCATACAGCCCATCGTTCCTTATCCATTTCACTCCACCCTTATCCTTTTAATTCCAATATCATTTAATAATATTCGTTAATATTGTTAATAATTTGTGTATGATTTTTATAGTTTAAAAAAGATCCTATCCATCTCAAATTATGCGAAATAAAACCATGCTTCATGGACAATGTTAGTTGTCTTACATTATAAACCAATGTATAATGTCTCAAGTTGATAACATTACATTCTGAAGTAAACCTTACAAATACCGGATATAAAAGATAGAAAGTAACATTGTCAAAGAACCATATTTGTTTTCTTGATACTTTAAGACTTACAGTAGCAATCAAAAAGCACAAAAAACTGATAGCGGCAAGTCATGGGGATTTATAAGTACATAGGCAAATAAACACGTATTCTCTGAGCTAGCAACTCGTCACGTTATTATTTCGATGAAAATAAAACTAAAAAAACCTTTTTACAGTAAATCCTGAGCTTAAGAATTTAAGGTCTCAGATAACTCACATTCTGAGAAAAATAAAACCTGTTATAAATTAAAATAACAATAAAACATAATTAAAATTATATATATATATATATATATATATATATATATATATATATATATATATATATATATATTATATATATATATATATATATATATATATACATGTATTTAAAGATAATGGGATTAAAGTATTATCATGCATCTAAATTGATATAGGATTAATACACTTCAAATTAATGATATAGAATAAGCTATTTAAAAATATATTTACAATATGTATTATTTCTTATGATATACTGGTAAAATCTTTTTAAAAAAGCTTATTCTGTATCTATAGCTTATTCTATATCTATCATGTGAAGTTTGTCAGCCAATTTATGTTAGATGCATGATAATTTTTTAACCCCAATTCTTTAAACGATATATTAAAAATTACTTTGGATTAAATATTTATCAAAAATACAAAGAGGAAAGGTAATTAACAAATAACATGAGTATTTCTTGTTTAAATATTTACCCTAGAAAAAGTGAGGATTGAGGGGTGAAATGTCTTAAAATTTGAAAGTGATATGTCTGGCCGTTGAAGTGTTTTGTTCCCCTCAGTTTTAGGTTTTCCCGGGGTTTAAATTTAGAAACCGTGTCGCTTTCAAAACTGATAAGACTGATTGGCTGCTTGAAAGATCACGAGAAAACGACAACCTATTGGTGGTAGTCAGATCGAAGTGCATAGCGTAACTGAGAAGCTGATTTTAAATAGATTGTAAATGCATAAAAATATGCATTTGTAATTCTCTATGTTATCCTTTCATTACATCTTTAGTTTGATTTTATTTCAGTTGCTGTTTTGTAGTACTTACTGGACCAAGTTCTAGTTTCATAAAAGAGCATTTTCGACAAACAATCAAGTGTAAGACATCAACTGGTCGGCCATAACCAAGAGTAAGTTGGTATCTCTTTGAATCTAATAAAAGCGTTAAACATAAGATAACTGTAAATTCGTCAATACAGATACTCAATGATAGCGAGGATGGACTTGTAGTTGTCGAAAGTACCTTACAATTTTACCCAAATAGATCGATTAGCAATTGGATGTTGAAATGTGAAGCGTGGACAGACGACGAAACCAGTGCAGTTCGTAGCAATATATTGACTTTGAATGTTGCTTGTAAGTCTTTGTTTTAAAGAATTGGTAAATATGTTTATCAATGATATTATTAAAATATGGATATTTTTCTAATTGCTTAGAAACAGCCGTCATTACAAGATGTTTTTTTAAAATCTTTTGTTTGTAATGGTTAGAACATTCCATTCATTTTCTACATTACTAATTACTAATTTCCTATATATTCCGACATTTGTCCTTTTCATTGTAATGAGTTTTGATAAAAAGATAACGCTCACATATGCTTATAAGTATAAGAGAAAATTTAAGGTAATATTCTGATAAATTTATAGAACCTACAATCGATAACTGTGGAGTCGGGAATAAAGCGTACATAGCTGGAAATTAATTCATAACTTCTAGATATTGATTGGTCCTCGGTCTGAAAATTATGATCTCCTTCAAGTACAAACGGTCAAAAACCAAGAATGTGCTTAAATAGCAATCAAGACAAAAACATTTTTCTTTTGTATTGTTACAGACAAATTGAATTTACTAAAGAAATGAAAGACTATTGCGTCAGCAATTTCCATGTTTTTCGACCATAAACAATCTGTATACATGCAACCATTCAACACATTTTTAAAGGGAAATATCAATTTCCCGGTTCAACAACATTCAGACTGATCGCAGTATATAAAACGCAAAGCACTAGCGATATGAGTATGTTTTTAGCATGACATACATATTGTTTTTTAGGGGGAAGGGATTTTTTACATTTTTTCAATTGTAAGAACTGATTAAGCGAAGAAAGATACCTAAGCTTGTTTCGAAACTTTAAGATGTTGCAATTGTTTTTTATTTAATAAAAAGTTTATTCAAATTGTCTGTTCAATCGAGTTGTAACAGCGATACAACTAAATGAGGAATGTACTAAAATGCCTGTATTATAAACGTTTGCTAAAATGTTAAGTAAAGTAATAGTGAAGTATTTGTTAAATAAAGTTAAAAGACATTAATGACGCTTTTATAGCTATTGTTAATTTTGATTATTTGATATTTAATTGAAAAGATTTTATGAAACATTTCAAGATCCTCCACAGAAACCTGTTATCATTGGATTCACAGACGGTGAAAAATATTCACTTATAGAATCTGAGTTTGGCAACTTATCTTGTTCGTCACATGGCGGAAATCCACTAGCTAATTTGACATGGAATTGCTATAACAGTAAACCAGCATCTATTACCACTGAAGACAAAACAGTTTTCAGTACTGTTACATGGTCAGGTTTTCGTGGTCAGTCATCTTGTCTTTGTATTTCACATCATTCGTGGTCTGGAACAACGCAAACTACAACTGTAATGATTGATGTTCTTTGTAAGTTTTAATTTCCAAATTATATTAGATAAATAACATAGTGTATGGTTTTGTTTTATATTAAGACGTTCGTCAGTAACAAAATATTTAAAATCCTGAAGATGATTACCAATACTGCTTTAAAGTGATAATATTGTTAGTATTTATTTATTTTTCAAAACGTGCTTTAATTCATTATAACTATGTAATATCTTGATAAATACTATCAATAATCTATATAAAATATTTTGACATACATGTTTTAAGACCCTCCAAACAAACCAACAATGACCATCAGCAATAAAACCGTCTCAAACGTTATTAACGTTATTTTGAGCAAAACCGTGCAAGTAAAATGCGAAAGTAAAAGCAACCCACGCTCAAACTACACATGGACAGGCCCAGCTGATTTGAGCAAAACGAAACAAATACTGGATGTTACAATTAACAACACGATAGACAAGATGTTTAAATGCATTGCAACAAATCGAATGGTTAGACAGAATGGTACACATGTAGATGGACATAATGAATCTGCTGTTACAATAAAGGTGTTGTGTATGTATAACTTGTTACACCTCACTTTCTTTATACATTTTTTCTGAGATGACTAACAGATTATTTAAACTTAATAAAGCACCATAAATTCATACAAATTCTAAATAAAATTATTCTCAATAAATATCATTTTGATTAGAATAAGACTTTGTTGATACAAATTTGGACCAAACAATGATTATACAGATCTGTTAAGAAATGTAAGAATGTTACAAAAAAGCTATTTTACATTATTGTTGTATCCAGTTGTAAATAAAAAGCGTACACGCATAAAAATGAAGTCAATAATATGAAATATCGTGTTTTATCAGATCCACCTTGGAATCCTTATTTCAAATATGAATATAGCAATGGAACAAAGGTCAGTACTCAAAATATGATAGACGTTATAGAAGGAGACTCGTTTTCAGTACATTGCAATGCATCAGGAAATCCACTACCTACTTACAAGTGGGACAGCTATGATGACAACGGTATTCTAAAGATTACTTCTATTTCATATGACACAAACAAATCATGCAATGCAAGCAATGTAATGGAGGAAACAGTCGGTGAACGTCGAACAGGATCGACATCTGCCTCATTTTTTTTTATCAGGGTTCTACGTATGTATTATTAGAATATTATATGTATTTATGAATTGATTCAAACACAATTTTAAATCAAATTGTTAAAAGAAGTAATTCAGACAAATGATATATATAATTAGTCATATCAATAAATAATTTATTTTTCAACTATCACTGTCCATAAACAGGTTTATTTTAAGCTAGGCCGGCATTATATTCAGTTTTTATGTCTTTTTAAACATATCTTGTTAGAAACCTAAATTTTCACCATGTTTATAAAAGTGTTCTATTTATTAAAAACATTATTAAAGGCGTGAGTAAAAAACTTTCTTTTATTTATATCATTCCAACTTATTTTAAAGTCACTGAGTAAAGAACATTGTTTATTTTAGGTTTTCTGATATGCTCATAATGATAGTATTAAACTAGTTAATAGTGTCAGTACATAATAAAAAATATTTCTGTGAATGCTCATTATTACATTCATAGATGCGCCATACATTCCTACGATCACGATTTCGAACGGAACGAGACAATTAAACATCGCAGCAGCAACTATACAATTAAGAGAAACAGACAACATCAATATGACATGTTTTTCTGAAGGAAAACCTCTCCCAAAATACATTTGGGATAGCCACAATGATCAAATACAAGGACGTATACGCCAATTTACAAATATTAGCCGAAAGGATGCCGGGAATTACACGTGTTATGCGAGTAACCGGATGAAACGCACTTTTGGTGACTTTGAACAAGGATTGAACGTTTCCAGCTTGTCTCTCGAAATAATGTGTACGTATGAAATAAATATTTATTTTCTTCGTAGATATTTCAAATATATTTAACGTTGAGGAATGCAATTGTTCAAAACATAAATGTGTCAACCTGCATGCGTTCATATTTTTAATCATTTCAAAGTCTTTTAAAACTCGGTTGCAGATCCATCAACTCTTTTATCACTGGACGACATAAGTATTCTCGAAGGATCAGACCTTAAGGTTAAATGTCGAGTCCAGAAGGGAAACCGAACTAAAGATAGTTTGTCATGGACTAGAATAAGTGATGACAAGAATTGGCAGAATAGTCAACTGATTATAACTAACGTTTCTAGAGCAGATGATACAAAATATACTTGCACTTTACGAAGTACAGTCATTCCAACAATTGGTGACGAAACATTGACCATAAGAAGCAAAACAATACATCTAAATGTTTTTTGTAAGTATACTTTGTTATTATAGTCGAAATCAATCAACTTAATGTTATTATATGTTTATGGGAAGGGCGTGAATAACGCAAGCTTATCATGTGAACTATTTGAGGTTCTTATTTACCAAGATTTACGTCCAAATAAAACACTTATAACCAGATCTTATTGTTTACACAGAGTGAATTGTCATTTACTATCACTATTATCTATCTATTAAAAATATAACTATCGAACTGAGTACACGTTCACAGAGAAGTAAGTCGTTGTATTGAAATCACAGTTGAAACTGTGTAACACATAAGCATACTTGACCTTTCCATTCATCAGAAAAAGTAAAAATGTATTTTATCCTTTTTATCAATGCTAAATCTAAAAACTGAATATTTTATATTTCATTTAAGATTTTGAAGCCTTCCTTTTATGAGAAGCAAAGGATTTTACTTATTTTTTATTTAAAGTAAACTTTCGGCACAACTTCCGCTTTTTCTACCGTGGTGTGTAGTTTGTCAATTAATAAGCGAAAATGTATTAAACATATTTAGGGAGACAACAAATGATTTTTTTATCTTGACTTATAATAATATGTTTCAGTTTCTTCAGAAATCAAACATTTTACTGTTATAAAAAACAAGTCAAGTGGAACGTTTATTGTAAATCAAACAGATGAAGTATCATTAGAATGTATAGCAGAAGCTAACACAGCCTCGAATTTATCTATATACAATAAACGTGGAAAAAGGATATCGACTGTGATAAACAGAAATGTGCTGCTTTACAGCATACATAATGCTTCGTACGAAAACGCAGGCAAATATAAATGTGAAGGCAGAAACAACTACACAAAGGATAAACCATCAGTATCAGAACTGACAATAATTGTCAAATGTAAGTTTAACCGGCTTTGCTTAATACGTTCTTTCATTTATTTTCTTTTTGTACATTTACCTTTGACTATAACGAGTCTAATATTTGTTTCTGGAAGGACTCGCTCACCGATTGAACTGTTAATATTCCTATTGTATAGTTTAGCTTTCTGGGGTCTTGTATTGTAAATCTCATGGTGCGCTGCATTCCTTTTATTATATATCTAAATGTATAAAGATGTGTTATTGGACCTTTGAAACCAAAGAGTTATACACTTAATATTTTTAACTATATCTAACATGTACATTCTCGAATGCACCTATTAATTTTGAAGTTTTAAATGTCTTTGACTTATCGGTGTTCTAAAGTAAGAACAACTGTATTGGATTGTTTTGCATTACTCTAAATTTGTGGTTTTAAACCAAATCAGCTAGTGTCAGGAGTTGAAGACAATTATTTTGATTTCTACAAGCTGTTAACTTTTGATTAAACATCAGCTCGTATAAATGAAAGTCCGTGTGTATGGCTTTCTGTTACCTTTTTCATTATTAATATAAGATATTCATATTTCATCTTATAGCAAACCACCCTTTTGAATAATTTACATGCGGTTTTATATAATAATTATATTATTTATCAACCCAAGCACTGGGGTAACACCGTGACACGTTTTTATTTCAACTTCCCCTGTTAAACATACGCAGGGCATTATATGCACAACACAAAATGGTAAGTACATGTACTTAAGATTATTTGACATCAACTGTAAATAAACTAAACGACAGCATGGAATTATATCGCCGCTAAATGGGTTTTAAGATATCTTCTAATACGTCTTTTAATATTCTTAAAACAAATACTTGGCAGTAAATCATTCAAGCCTATCGACCTACTTCGCGTTTGTACTGAAACTGTGCATTATTATTCAAGACACGGAACATTTATATCTACACGAGAACAATACTTAATGCAGGACTATAGTTAGTACAAAAACCGCTTGGACATTTTTCACGACTTCACTGATAAAATTTTGCAAATACACTATTTCAACGTTTCATCTTTTCAAATTAACGTTTTTTTTCAATTGCAGCTCTATAGATTCACAATATAACGCTTATACACAATTTTTATTTATTTACGAATTTATGAAATTAAATATTTCTACCCGTCTTTTCAAGATATCCTTTTGGCTGTCATTTCCTGCTTATTTTGATAATGTTTGCCATGTTATGAAGTGTATGAATTTTATGCTTCATAAAGAGAGAGAGGATACAGTCGTTATATTGTATGTCCTTATGTCCGTACAGCCACAAAATACATTTAGAATGTAGGGAAATGTAAAGTGTTCTAAAATAAAAATACTTTGTTTAATAATTTTCAAATAATCCTCTTTTATGGTATTATTAAAATAATGCTTTTTTCGGACTGCCAGTGACATAACGAAACTAGAAGCATTATTAAGAATAGTGAATGAGAATGAGAATAACACATAACCAATTGTTTGTTTTTATATCTGTCTTATAATATAAAATGAGACCGGCTCAAGAAGAGTAAGATTATATAAAGAAAATTCAACTTGCAAGTAAAAACGGCCCCCTAAAAAAGGCAAATAAACAAAAAAATCATATTAACTGTTTTTATGTTTCATGTTATAATTTTCTATGTTTTTTAATTTATTTTACGTCAAAGTTAATACTGACAAAATAAAAAATAAAGCCTAATGTCTTACAACTGTTTTTTTTTTCTTGATAAGCAAGGATTACAAGTTTCATACCATTAAAATGGTTTGAGTAATTGGCTACATTACAGTTTTGTGTATGATGACGACGACAACGACAACTTCGAAGCGATCATAATTGCTGGATTTTTCTTAAAAACAGACAAGCTAAAACATCTTCTTACTTTTCGCTCATACATTCTTATACATCTTTTATTTGCTGATTATTGTCAATATTGACTATGTAGTTCTGCAGTTAAATATCTCGGACGGTTCAATAACTTTGGTGATTATGTAAATGTGGGTGTAGGAGTGAGGAAGGAGTGATAAAAACTTAGCAAAAGGTGTTTTTTACACTTTAACTTATTGTTTTATTCACGTGTTAATCCTTTTTTTTGTTATAATCTTCCTGCTTTAATATGGATAGAATGAATGTTTGGTTAAAATTTTCTAGTAAGATGTATTGTATTAAATCCAGGTTCACCACGACCGTCACTTGATAGCATACTCCCCAATAAGATCGCAGTTTTTCAATATACCAACAAGACTTTGAATTTTGTTGCTTATGAATACTTGGATGAAGAAAATAAAACAGAATTTATGTGGTTCCACAAAAATATAGCAATCGAAAGAAATGATGAATAATTTGAAATATTCTCAACTGGATTAAATTCTAGCCTTTCTGTTAGAAATATTTCACGATCAGATTTTGGAGAATACAGTGTCAAAGTGTCAAACACCATAGGAGAGTATATTCATCACTATGTGTTGCAAGCAGAGGGTAACTATATGTCTAAATTCATAATAATTTTCAGAATAACTGGTATTGATTATTGTGTATGTATCATGAAGTTATAAATTTAATATTGTTAAATATTAAACGTTACTAAATAATGATTAATGATGATTTGCTAATTTAAAATAATGTCCTGTTTGCGTATAGTCATTCTTTATATTAATTGTATTTTTACAGATAAGCCAGGTATGCCTATCAATTTAACGTACAAATCGGGATCAATGACAGAATCGTCAGTAACATTGGTTTGGACTCCAGGTTTTAATGGCGGCTTTCAACAGACTTTCTTTTTGTTATATCAACTCAATCATGAAGAGAAGTGGCAAAGTATTCATGTTCAAGATACAAATGAACAGACAATGAGCTACACGTTAAGTGGCTTGTTGAGTTCTAAAACCTATAATATAAGAATGTTTGCAAGGAATAAAAAAGGGAACTCTTCTTTTACAAGAACTTTACAGTAAACAACAAACGGTAAGCTACTAATCATCAACGACAAGTATTTTATTATCCAAGACGTAAAAATTACATTCAAATTGAAGTGAATCTTTTCTTTTTCTTATATTTTAAATACTTTTATTATTGTATCAGTATTTCCGCCTAATATACATGACACATTACATGTACATACCAATTAGTATGCTTCAAAGCGTAACATGTTTTTCATGTTTAAAAAAGAATCTAAAAGATTACGTAAAAACATGTTTATGCTGCAATTTCAATACCATTCATAACAAGATATTGTTTATACTTTGAAAGATTCATTCAAATTCAACCAAACATCGTTACAAAGATTATAAAACATATATATCATGAATAGTTAACATTTTTACACAAATATATGTTTATGATTACTGGCCTTTGACACTTGCTATTCACTGATATATCAATTTATATTATCTGAAAAAATGTCGCTCCTGACAATCGTTTTCATTATTTGATCCTATTATTATCTTGATTATCTAAGATTACATCACAATATTGTTGTTTAACGGATAATCGAGTTTTTTTCCACTGCTTTGAAATTACTTGTATCGTTTTGATGCATAGCGGTGCTAAATAGCCCTAAATTATAGTTATAAATTTATAAAATTAAGTTATAAAATTACTTTGTTATTTTCTTTTGCTTGATTTCAAAGATACATAGATTAAATTGCGTACTTCTTTTGTGTTATAATAGCAAACGCGCCGGTTGTACATAAAACAAGTACAGGAACGTTCGTCGGTGTCGGCGTGGGTACATTTGCAGGAACAATAACGTTGGTCACTATTTTTTGTTTTGTTATAGGCGTGTTAGGTAAGTCTCGGCCGTCATCAGAAATGAAAAAAATTTTGTTAAAGCAGTATAAAAAAGGACGTAAAATATGCATATAATTATTCATACTTGCATCGCAAAAATGCAAACAATTTAAATGTTTCGCTTTTCATTGGTGGTTAGATAAAGTAGTCATAATGTGAAGAACGTTTCATTTTCATTTGGCAAAATCAAAATACAAATACATGACATTTTTTTCTTTATTATTTTGTAAAAAAAATAGTTAAATGTTGTTCAGTCACATCATGGTAAACTATTCTCAATTTAACTGATTTTGATAGCGAAAGAATTAGCATAATGTATTTTAACTATTCTATAACCAGTTATCATTCAATACACATTGTATTTACTGATCTTTACTGATCTTTTAAAACTTTTTTTCAGGAAGAACAAAAATAATGCCGGTAAACGAGATACAGGAGGTAAGGTTTACATGTCTATTTTTACATATTGATCAACACTTATTATAAAAAAAAAATATTTGTAAGTGCTTTTTATAGATGTTGGAATATGTTTGTCATCTGAAATGAAATACACAAATAATGATGATCTAGAAGTGCTTAAGTTGAAATAATGTATGCAGGCTTAAATGTATGTAAAATAAACCTATGTAATTACACATTCACTTGCTAAACATCTGCTGAAATTACGAGTAAACTGTATTTGTGTGTGTTAAAAGTAACAGGAACACTTTAACTTGTGTCAGATGTAAAGTAGCTTAGATTAAAAGATTGCAACGCGGGGTGATTAGTGTTTTAGAAATAACATTATATAAATATATATTTATATATATTTTGTAACGTGCACCTGTAGATCCTTGCATATATCATTTTCATCAACGAAAAATGAACTCTGAAAATACTAATTTAAATTTATAGGTACCGTATTTGGTTAGTGAACTAAGTTTGCTGATTGAAATATCCTCTGTACTATTTTTAAAGACAAAAGTCAGTAAGTAAATCAGTCTGTTTTAAATATTTTATTACTTATTTGTCAAGGACCAGAAAGTGACAAAGAAACAAAGAAAGTGAAACTTCAGTTTACATCAATTTAAAAATTTAAAAAATAAAAATATATAAAATTTAAAAAAATCATAGTAACTGTTTTTATGTTTCCTGTTGTAATTTTCTATGTTTTTTAATTTATTTTACGTCAAAGTTAATACTGACAAAATAGAAAATAAAGTCTAATGTCTTGCATCTGTTTTTGTCTTGATAAGCAAGTATTACAAGTTTCATACATTTAAAATGGTTTGAATAATTGGCTACATTACAGTTTTGTGTATGATGACGACGACAACGACAACTTCGAAGCGATCATAATTGCTGGATTTTTCTTAAAAACAGACAAGCTAAAACATCTTTTTACTTTTCGCTCATACATTCTTATACATCTTTTATTTGCTGATTATTGTCAATATTGACTATATAGTTTTTGCCGTTAAATATCTCGGACGGTTCAATAACTTTGGTGATTATGTAACTGTGGGTGTAACGATTGCAACGCAGGGTGATTAGTGTTTTAGAAATAACATTATATAAATATATATTTATATATTTTGTAACGTGCACCTGTAGATCCTTGCTTATATCATTTTCATCAACGAAAAATGAACTCTGAAAATACTAAGGTACCGTATTTGGTTAGTGAACTAAGTTTGCTGATTGAAATATCCTCTGTACTATTTTTAAAGACAAAAGTCAGTAAGTAAATCAGTCTGTTTTAAATATTTTATTACTTATTTGTCAAGGACCAGAAAGTGACAAAGAAACAAAGAAAGTGAAACTTCAGTTTACATCAATTTAAAAATTTAAAAAATAAAAATATATAAAATTTAAAATAAAAATAAAATTAGAAGTAAAGTCAAAGCAAGAATTTATGTATAACCTCTATATATTTTGTGTTTGAAGCGTAAATACATCTATATATGTTGAACGAAATTTAGACGGAGTAGGTTTCAACAAGTCAGACCCTGGAAGTTACAATAACAGATATTGTGAATATTGTATGATATTAACGTTTCAAGAGTTCACTGTGACGGCAATTGTGAAACCTTAACGCTCTAACCTGACCCACGTTGGTCAAGTTAGAAAATCACAATTTTATTCCTTATAAGGAGAAAAGTTTTGTTCCTGTGACTGCTTTGTGTATTTATTTTGAGTACATTTAAAGAATAATGAATAAAAAAATCAAACGAAGAAATGAAAATGATAATTCTAGAACCATTCAGTTTTTATATTAATTTTATACACATTTCAAATTAATATCATAAAAATAAAACATAGATTGTATTTTGTGACATATTCCAATGTTCACGGTCTCTTTTCATAATGCGTTCCGCAAATGAAATAAAGAAAATTTAATGTTTCAAAGATTATTATGTCATATTAAGATCATATTTTTAATTCCACGATTGTATGAATTTATTGTTGTTTTTTTATCCGTCATTTATAAAAATGAAACATATTCCAATGTTACTTTTAGACTTGCATGTGTATGCATTATAATATATAATATTGTGTTAGCTTATCATTTTACAAACACATTAAGTGATCAACATACATTTTTGGAAAATATAACCTTATTTATTTGTACCAAAATCAATTATGATATCTACTTCAACATCGGTAGGGCTCGGCCAGTAAGCGTTTGATAATTTTTGCCGGTGTCTAGTATTTGCCGGTAACATAGACAAAGAGACTAGAATCAGAGCATATCGAGAGGAGACTGGCGAATAGTATAAAAATGTAGGTCACTAAATCCTTGTTTATTACATGTAATAAGAGTCCTAGATCCCTAGGCTTCCTATCATAAATCTCTTTAAGTTAAAACTATGCATTAAGACAACTTGCCGACATAATGTGTTATTTACTCGGGGTTATGCAGACGCTTTCGGTAAATTACTGTTAATCAGTGTAGAGGCAGGTTTGAGCGTCTGCATAATACTGAGTAAATAAGTCTAAGAAATATAGCCCCTCATTACTATTGAATCTACTGTTAAAATACAAATAACACCATTGAACGTAATGATGCTGTAAAATCCGTACATACATGTATATTAAGCTAGTGACTTACTTATATTAATACTTTAGCACTTACTTTAACATTTATTTCAAGTTACTAACATAGCATATGCCTCACTAGCCTCATTGACAAGGAGTTAAGATTTTCACTTACTCATTGAAGGTTGCAGGTTCGAATCTCAAGGAAACACTATTTTCTATCTTTCTTTTTTATATAACATTTTTATTGTTTGCAGATAGAAATTAAAAAAGGCACCAGAAATTTAACAGTTGATTCATCCACTAAATTTGCATATTGTTAAATACATCCGTATTATTATTTGTTTGTTCATCTATTAATTTGCGTGCACGATTATATTCATCTATGCGTTTTCATATTTTTTTGCATCTTGCATTAGGGCTACGTTTATCTGAATGGTTATTACGAACACATTATTTCTTCCAAAACTGTTTAAAATGAAAAGTCTTCACTTAGTGAACATTCTTTTGTTGGCTCCTTCTTTAAAACGCATGTATTCTTTGACATTTTGTTTATCATGTAAAAAACGAAAAAAAAAAACATTACACATAAAGTGACATTTTGCATTTAAATAAAGAAAACTTATGGAATTGATAATGTGTATAGCTTAAAGAGCATGTTATGTTTTGTGATTGATATTGTAACTGTGTGTATTCTTTTTATTTTAATGCGTTTATTTAAGGTCGCCACCGGAAATCCCATATAAGTGACCGTACACTCAAGTCGGGCCATCCTAGAGCGTCCCGCCGATATTTTTTTCCAGCTTTATTCGTGGAGGAAGACCCTCCGGGCATTATTTAAGACGAGCGGGCACCTGGGTAGAACCACCGACCTTCCGTAAGCCAGCTGGATAGCCACCTCATATGAAAGATTTCTGCACGAGTGGGGATCGAACCTACAGCGGTGAGGGACCTGTAATCACAAGTCAGCGACCCTAACTACACTTGAAAAAATTATATATGTATATAATTATGCAAATAAAACAACTTTCAAACATCGAAGAATATGTAAAATGTGTACTGCAAATATTTGTGCACATAATATTTAACGAATAAATAACATGCATTTATTTCTTATTGGAAAATTTGACTTAGAATTTATAGAAAATAAATTTCTAATTACCTCCCTTTATTTACTTGAAATGTTAAATTGGGTAATATCTTTAAAATTAATGCTTATTGGAACTTACATTATTGACAAATTTTAATTTGAGCATCATATTAATGAAATAAAACCATGAAAAAAATGTGCTACAGGATCTTTAATCTAAATATTATAATACTAAATAAAACATCCACACAGCTGCTTTGTTTAAAATACTATGTGAATGGAAATCATTAAAAGTTCTATTCTAGCTGGAACTTAAAATACACGCTGTTTGAAGTCCCAGGACATTTGAGCACCTGAGGTTCTAGTAAGAATTTTAAAATACAAGTATTTCCGTTACTTAAAAGTCTAAACTGATAGGCGTAGGCAGGATCTACTTATTAACCAGTCGCGAACGACAGCGCGTGATAACATGATTTACTTGCACAACCTCTAAGACGGTCAAAATTATCTGATTGGTAGCCGATCTATGGTCCAGTGATACCCTTCTTAAGGGTCAAATGAGAGCAACTAATTTTCGGCAGTTAATAATCCGTAATCGGGACATAAAAGGATACTTGGAAAAAATCTTACAATTACTTTTCCCTAGCACAAGTTCCCCTAGGCTTTTTATGTAAAGTTGTTCTGAAAGCTGTCGTATTATTTTCCATAAAATACGACAATTATATGGAGTGAAATCTTATGCAAGAAAATTTCAACCTAAACAATGTTTTTTTTTAAAGAATTACATCACTGTTTTGCGGATTTGATAAACACAATGCAGATTTTCACAATCAAAATAAACTTAAGATTAATATGTCAATAATGGACTCGATAATTATCCAAATTACTAGA